TGCTGCTGCTGCTGCTGCTGCTCCCGCTGCTGCTGCTGCTGCTGCTGCTGCTGCTGCTCCCGCTGCTGCTGCTGCTGCTGCTGCTGCTGCTGCTGCTCCTCCTCCTCCTCCTCCTCCTCCCGCTGCTGCGCAACCGCCGCCGCTGCTGCTGCTGCTGCTGCTGCTGCTGCTGCTGCTGCAGATATGCGGGGACATCCACGGGCAGTTCTACGACTTGCTGGAGTTGTTTCGCGTGGGGAGTTTTTTGCCGGAGACGAATTATTTGTTTTTGGGAGACTTCGTGGACAGAGGCTATTTTTCGGTGGAGACCTTTTTGCTGCTGCTGGCCCTCAAAGTTCGCTACCCAGACAGAGTCACTCTCATTCGCGGCAACCACGAGAGCCGCCAGATCACCCAGGCGAGCTGCTGCTGCTGCTGCTGCTGCTGCTGCTGCTGCTGCTGCTGCTGCTGCTGCTGCTGCTGGGGGTGGGCGGGGCGCTGGCGTGCTGCTGCTGCTGGTTGCGCTGCTGCTGCGGCTGCTGCTGCTGCTGCTGCTGGTGGAGGCGCTCCTCGGTGCCGCTGCCGCTGGTTGAGGCGCCGCTGCTGCTGCTGCTGCTGCTGCTGCTGCTGCTGCTGCTGCTGCTGCTGCAGGTGTACGGGTTTTACGACGAGTGTCTGCGGAAGTACGGCAGCAGCAGCGTGTGGCGCTACTGCACTGAAGTCTTCGACTATTTGTCTTTGGCAGCAATTATTGACGACCAGCTTTTCGCGCTGCACGGCGGCCTTTCTCCAGCCATTTCCAGCGTCGACGAGGTCTGCTGCTGCTGCTGCTGCTGCTGCTGCTGCTGCGGTCGCTTTGCTGGTGCTGCTGCTGCGGCTGCTGCTGCTGCTGCTGCGGCTGCTGCGGCTGCGGCTGCTGGTGCTGCGGCTGCTGCGCCAGCTTTGCTGGTGCTGCTGCTGCTGCGCGAGCTTTGCTGGTGCTGCTGCTGCTGCAGCAGCTGCTTCCGCTGCTGCTGCTGCTGCTGCTGCTGCTGCTGCTGCTGCTGCTGCTGGGTGGGGTGAGGGCGGTTGTGGGGGTGGGGGTTGCTGGCTTGCTGCGGGTGCTGCTGATGCTCCTGTTTGGAGGGTTTAGGGTTGGGGATGGGTTTTGGGGTTTAGGGTTTAGTAGGGTTTAGGGTTTAGGGTTTAGGGTTTAGGGTTTAGGGTTTGGGGTGCGCAGATTCGCTCCATCGACAGAAAGCAAGAAGTGCCTCACGAAGGGCCCATGTGCGACCTTCTGTGGAGTGACCCTGAAGGCACGCCAAACCCTAAACCCTAAACCCTAAACCCTAAACCCTGAAACCCTCGTGGGTTTTTCTCTCGCCTGCACGAACGCGGGCCCTGGAGGGCAGCTTTAGGGTTTGAAACCGAGAGGCCAGGCTTTGCGATTTAGGGCTTAGGGTTTAGGGTTTAGGGTTTAGGGTTTAGGGTTTAGGGTTTAGGGTTTGGCCGCTGCAGAAATGAAGGGGTGGGGGTACAGCCCGCGAGGCGCAGGCTACCTCTTCGGGTCGGATATTGTGAAGACGGTTCGCAAACCCTAAACCCTAAACCCTAATTTCCAAACCCTAAAGCCTAATTTCTAAACCCTAAACCCGAATTTCTAAACCCTAAACCCTAGAAAGGAGTGGAAAACGCGCATCAGCAGCTTTCCCTTCCCAAGTGTTCAGAGCTTCGACCGCAGGCCCTGCCCCTGAAGGTCAAGTTAGGGTTTAGGGTTTAGGGTTTAGGGTTTAGGGATTACGGTTTAGGGTTTAGGGTTTGGGTGTGCAGTTCTGCCACACGAACAATGTGGAGATCATCGCGAGGGCGCATCAGCTGGTGATGGATGTAAGTTTTTATTTTTATTTTATTTTTATTTATTTTTATTTATTTTTATTTTTATTTCATTTTTGTTTCTTTTTGTTTATTTTATTTCTTTTTTATTTCCTCTTCTATTCTCTTTGTCTCCCTTCGCCTTAAATTTCATTTTTGGCGTTCGCTGCGCGGCCGTTTCGCTGAGGGTTTAGGGTTTAGGGTTTAGGGTTTAGGGTTTAGGGTTATCTGCGCGTGCTTCTGTCTTGTCGCCTGAGCCGCTCTCTTTGCTCCCCCTGTTTGCATCCTCCTCCCTCATTTAGGGTTTAGGGTTTAGGGTTTAGGGTTTAGGGTTTAGGGTTTTGTCTCAGGGCTACAAGTGGTGGTTTGACAAGAGGCTAGTCACTGTCTGGTCCGCCCCCAACTACTGCTACAGGTGCCTAAACCCTAAACCCTAAAACCCTAAACCCTAAAACGCTAAACCCTAGTCCTGAGCTCCTACTAAACCCTAAACCCTAGACCTAGCTGGTAAACGTTGAACCCTAGATCTCATCTTTGCGACCCTAAACCCTAATTCTGCGTTTCTAAACCCTAAACCCTCGCATTTGAGGCAAGGTAAACCCTAAACCCTAATTCTTTGCCTCTAAACCCTAAGCCCTCGCTGGTGCTGCAACCTAAACCCTAAACCCTAATTCTGTGTTTCAAAACCCTTAACCCTCGCATTTGCGGCAAGCTAAACCCAAAACCCTAATTCTTTGCCTCTAAACCCTAAACCCTCGCTGGTGCTGCAGCCTAAACCCTAAACCCTAATTCTGTGTTTCTAAACCCTAAACCCTCGCAGGTGCGGCAACGTGGCGACTGTGATGGAGTTGGACGAACATTTGAATTACCAGTTCAAAACTTTCGAGGCTGCTCCGCCGGTGCGTGCCAAACCCTAAACCCTAAACCCTAAACCCTAAACCCTAGCGCCTTGCGGGGGCGCATCCAGCGCCTGCTTGTCGACTGGGCAGCGGCTGCGGCTTCCACTGAGGCCTGAAGTAGGGTTTAGGGTTTAGGGTTTAGGGTTTAGGGTTTAGGGTTTGTCTTCGCAGGAGCGGCGCGGCATCCCCTCTAAAAAACCGCCGCCAGATTACTTCCTTTAGGGGCCCCCCCTCAGTACCCTTTGGGGCCCCTTGCGGCGCCCCTAGGGCCCCCCGGGGGCCCCTCTTTAGGGGCCCCTGGGGGCCCCCATTGAGGGACCCCTAGGGCCCCTGGGGGCCCCCTGGGGGGGCCCCTAAAGGGGGGCCCCCAAACAAGGAGGCCCTAAGCAGGGCCTCCTTGTGAGGGGGCCCCAAGGGCCCCTATCTAACAACCCCTGGGGGCCCCCTTAGGGGGGCCCCCAGGAGTTGGGGCCCCTGAATTGGGGCCCTTATTGGGGCCCCCATGGAGGGGCCCCTATAGGGGGCCCCATTGAGGGGCCCCCAACTCCTGGGGGCCCCCCTAAGGGGGCCCCTAGATGGGGGCCCCTAGGTAGGGGCCCCTTCTTAGGGGCCCTCTTTAAACCCTTTCGCGAGGACCCTTGAGGGGGCCCCCCGCTACGGGCCCTACCAAGGGCCCCCTTGGAGGGCCCCCTTTTTTAGGGCCCCCTTTTTGGGGGCCCCCTTGAGGGGCCCCCCTTTTGGGGGCCCCCCTGGGGGGCCCCCTTGAGGGGCCCCTAGACCCAGACTTGTGAGGGGCCCCTTTGCTGCTCGCGTGGTGGTTTGCGGCGGCGCCTGTGTGGGGCCTAAAGACCATTGGTGCGTTGCTGCTGCTGCTGCTGCTGCTGCTGCTGCTGCTTCAGCTTCAGCAGAGGCGAATAGCTAGCTAGATAGCTATCTAGCTAGCTAGATAGCTTGCTAGCTAGCTAGATAGCTAGCTAGCTTGCAAGCTGGGCAGATAGGGGGTGAAGCCGGTGACTAGCTGCTGCTGCTGCAGCTGCTGCTGCTTGCTGCTGCTGCTGCTGCAGCTGCTGCTGCGAAGGGCCCCGGGGAGCCTCATGCGGCGATTGGCTCCCTTTGGTAGAGGGCCCGGGGCCCCCGCTCCGCCCATGTTGCTGTTGCTGCTGCTTTGCTGCTGCTGCTGCGCAGCTGCTGCTGCTGCTGCACAGCTGCTGCTGCTGCTAAAATTATTGAGTGTTGCTGTTTGTGTGCACTGACTCGTGCTTATTGGGAGGCTTTTGCCGGCTCCCGTTGCTGCTGCTGCTGCTGCTGCTGCTGCTGCAGCTTTTGCTGCTGCTGCTGCTGAAAGGCCCTGGCTTCTGCCACTTGCTGCCGCAGGGCCCCAAACCTGCTGGCTAGCTGCTGCATCAAAGTCCGGCTGGGTCTTATTTCTTGAGATCTCTTTTTGAAAGTTTTAAATAAATCCGACTGAGACAAAACTCCCAAAGTGCTTCTCCCGTGCGACAAGAACTGCCGGGTCCACCGGCTCATGCCGTGGGGGCCCCCTGGGGGCCCCCCAGTGGGCCCCTTGGGGGACCCTTTTAAGGAAGCTTCAGGGGCCCCCCCCGGGGGCCCCTCAGGGGGCCCCTCGGGGGGCCCCCCAGGCGGAGTTTTGGGGCTCTGGCCCTCACCAGCAACCCTTGGGGGGCCCCCGGGGGCCCCCGCTGCAGCAGCTTCTGTCTTGGGGGCCCCCGCGGGGGCTTCTGCTGCTGCTTCTTTTTGAGGTGCAGCAGCAGCAGCAGATGGGAGGCTCTTGGGACTTGGAGTCTGCTGCTGCGCTGCAGCCAACGGGGGGCCCCCAGGGGGCCCCCCAGGGGGCCCCCCTCCCGTTGGCTGCGGGGGTTTGGCTGCTGCTGTCTCTTCAGTGGCGGCCTCGCCCTCTGCTGCTTCTGCTGCAGCTCCCTCTTCTGCTGCTGCTGCTTCTGCTGCAGCCCCTTCTGCTGCTGCTGCTTCTGCTGCAGCCCCTTCTTCTGCTGCTGCTGCTGCTCCCTCTTCTGCTTCCTCTCCCTTTGGCGCCTCTTGTGTCTCTTGATTTGCTTCTGCTGCTTCTGCTGCTTCTCCTTTAGCCTCTGGGCTTGGCTGCTCTGCTGCTTCCTCTGTTTCCTGGCCCTCAGTCACTTCTGCTGCTGCTGCTGCTGCTGCTGCTGCTGCTTTGTCGGGGGCCTCGGGGGCTGCTGCTGCTTCGCCGCTGCTGCTGCCCGCCTCAGTCTCGCCGCTGGCTCCTTCTGTTTCCCCTGAGCTTTCCTCCTGGGCCTCTCCCTCTGCTGCTTCCGTGCTGCTGCTGCTGCTGCTGCTGCTGCTGCTGCTTTGTTCTGCCTCGCCTGCTGCTGGCGATTCGGGCCCCTCAGCCTCCTCCTCCCCGTCAGTCTGCTGCTGCAAGAAGCTCTTCAGGGCCGCCTCTAGGGGCCCCCGGGGGGCCCCCAGGGGCCCCCGGGGGGCCCCCGCCCGCAGCCGCTGCTGCGGGGGGCCCCCATAGCTATAAGCCAAAAGGTCACCTGGGGGCCCCTGCCTATGGTAGGCAGCAGCGGGGCCCCAGAGGCCCGGGGCTGCAGCGCAAACAAAGAGGTAGGCCCTCATGTTTGGCTGCTTGCTGCGGCTCGCCCTTGCTGCTGCTGCTGCTGCTGCTGCTGCTGCTGCTGCTGCTCTGGTGTCCGCCTCGCCGCTCGCCCAGCGCAGCAGCTGCAGCAGAGCTGGGGAGCCAAGAGACACCCAGGGTCACTCCTGGACAGCCGGAGCTCTTAGACTTGCAAAAGGGGCCTTAGAAGTGGCTGGGTTTGGGGCAGCTAGTGCGGGTTGCTGCTGCTGCTGCTGCTGCGGCGGCTGCAGCTGCGGCTGCAGCTGCGGCTGCTGCGCGGTGTCGAGACAGCGTCGCTGGGCAGCAGGGCACGGGCTGCTCCTTGAAATGGATTAAATTTAAGCAAATTATTCAAATTAAAGAACAAATTTGAGACAAAAAACAGGTTATGAGGGCCCATAGAGCCTGAGGCGCAGCAGCAGCAGCAGCAGCAGCAGCAGCAGCAGCGACCGCTGGACTGGGCCGGCGGGCCCGATGCCGACCAGCGGCTGCCTGTCGGTACACCCCAACTCTCTCTTTTGTCTTCACTTCATTTTAAATTTAATTAATTATTATTTATTTACTTTTGCTTTTCTTTGGACTTCATAAACTGCAGACAGGCGCGCGCAGCAGCCAGCAGCGACGCCTACGGCAGCCGCCAAGCCGACGCGTGAGGCCACCGTAACAGCAGCAGCAGCAGCAGCAGCTGCTGCTGCTGCTGCTGCTGCTGTTGCAAGCAGCAGCAGCCCCTAAACAGCAGAAGAAAACTTAGAGAAGCAATACTGAAGAGGATATAGGGAGTCTAAGATAGAGAGCAGCAGCAATTTTATGGAGCTTTGGCGTCTTGGGCCCCTTAGGGACAGCAGCAGCAGCAGCAGCAGCAAGAAGCTGCAGCCACTAGGCGGCAGCTGCAGCAGCAGCAACAGTAGGATTCTGCAGCTGCTAGGTAGCAGCAGCAGCAGCAGGAAGCTGCAGATGCTACGCAGCAGAAGCAGCAGCAGCAGCAGCAGCAAGCTGCTGCACTGCCGTGCCACGTCTTTGAAGAGAAGCTCTAGAGGCAGCAGCAGCTGCTGCTGCTGTCCTCATTTCAGGTGTACGTACACCTCAGCAGCAGCACTGCTGCAGCTGTTGCTGCTTATTTCCAAATAAATAGCTGCATAGTGCAGCCAGCAGCAGCAAACAGACGGCTTGCTAGACCAGCTAGCCACAGCTAGCCACAGCTAGCCACAGCTAGCCACAGCTAGCCACAGCTAGCCACAGCTAGCCACAGATAGCCACAGATAGCCACAGCCAGCCACAGCTAGCCACAGCTAGCCACAGCTAGCCACAGCTAGCCACAGCTAGCCACAGCTAGCCACAGCTAGCCACATTAGCCGGGAGGCGGCCTGTGTCTGCGTCCGAGCACTGGCCTCGCGATTGTGTCTGCTGCTGCTGCTCTTGCTGCTGCAGCAGCAGCGGCTGCAGCAGCGGCTGCTGCAGCCGCTGCAGCTGCTGCGGGAAGCAAAACAAAGCACAGAGATTCCGAGGCCCTAAACCCTAAAATGCCTCCAGTGCCAAACCCTAAGCCCTAAACCCTAGGGGTTTTGCTGCAGCAGCAGGAAACAGCAGCAGCAGCAGCAACTGCAGCTGCTGCATTTTCCTAGAAGCCGCAGCAGAACTTCGGCGGGAAATACCCGCAACTAGCCACAGCTAGCCACAGCTAGCCACAGCTAGCCACAGCTAGCCACAGCTAGCCACAGCTAGCCACAGCTAGCCAAAGCCACGCCTATACTGGAACTGGGAGTAAGCACTTGTTGCTGTTGAAGCCAAAGGCAGCTAGCACAGCTAGCTAGCCAGCTTCACTGGCTAGCTGTGGTAGCTAGCTGCGGTAGCTAGCTGAGGCTGTCTGCAGCAGCTAGCGTTACAGCTTGTCGCGGCTAGAAGCAATTGCCTGTGGCTAGCTGCCTGTGGCTAGCTAGTTGTGGCTAGATGACTGTGGCTAGCTAGCTGTGGCTAGCTAGTTGTGGCTAGCTAGCTGTGGCTGGCTGGTTGTAGCTGGCTTGTCGTGGCTAGCTAGCTGTGGCTAGCTGGCTGTAATTAGCTGGTTGTAGCTAGCTAGCTGTGGCTAGCTAGCTGTGGCTAGCTAGCTGCGGCTAGCTAGCTGCAGCTAAGCTCTGCTGGGTGTTGCTGGCTAGGTGGGGCTAGCTGCGGCTTGGCTTGGCTAGATGTGGCTAGCTGTGACTGGCTAGCCAAGGCCAGGTGCAGGCAGCCGTGGCTAGCCAGCTGTGGCTGGCTAGCTACAGCTAGCTAGCTGTGGCTGGCTAGCTATAGCTAGCTAGCTACAGCTAGCTGTGGCTGCTCCCGCTAGTGTGTCGTGGGGCCCCACACCTTGCCAGAGTGTGGGGCCCCACGAGCAGCAGCAAAAGCAGCGAGACGCGGCGCTGCTGCTGCTGCTGCGGGGTGGTGTACGTACACCTCAGCTCGCAGCTATTTCGGGGTCCTTTTCTTTCCTTTAAAGTTCAAAATACTTCATTTTTGCATTTTAGATAAATTAAGACTTCTTTTTTCCATCAAAACGGACAAACTGGCTCCACAGAGGCCCTAGGGGGCCCCCGGGGGCCCCCCGGGGCCCCTCGGGGCCCCCCGCGGCGGGCGAGAGGAGTGTCTTGGGGTTCAGTGGGGGCCTCTGCTGCAGCCATTTGTCCCTTTTGGAGTTGAAAAGAAGAATTAAAAGAGAAATTGGGTTTGTGTTGCGGAGAAGGGTTTAGGGTTTAGGGTTTGGGCGCGGGTTTGGGTTTTCGCCGCAATGCCGGGCGTGCTGTCGAAGCCGGAGGCCGCGGGGGGCCCCCCGGGGGCCCCCGGGGGCCCCCCGGGGGCCCCCAGCCCCTTAAGCCCCAGGGAGGGGGAGGGGCCCCTCCATTTCTTTTGCCGCGTGGGCCTCCAGGGCCCCACAAAGGCCCGCCTGGCTGTGGGCTCTTTGGCTTTGCTGCTGTGTTCTGCATGCAACTTGGCGACTCCTTACCTTTTGGGGCTTTGCGTGGACTCTGCGTACCGGGGGGCCCCCCGGGGGGCCCCCTGGGGGGCCTCCTGGGGGGCCCCCTGGGGGGCCCCCTCGCCGTGGGGCCCCTCGCGGGGCCCCACGGCAAACAACTTGCTGCTGCTCTTTGCACTTTTGCTGTTGGGGCCCTCAGCAGCGCCTGCAGGACGGAGCTGCTGCAGCGGGCTGAGGAGGAGGTGCTTACTAAGATTCGGTACAAACCCTAAACCCTAAACCCTAAACCCTAAACCCTAAACCCTAGGCCCTGGCTTTCGGGGGTGGCCCCAAGCCCTAAACCCCCGCGCGAAGCCGCGCGCCGAAGCCGAGGGCGGCGGCGCGGCTTCCGGCGCGGGCTGCAGCGCGCGCGAGGGTTTAGGGTTTAGGGTTTAGGGTTTAGGGTTTAGGGTTTAGGGTTTGTGCAGGTTGTTTTTGTTTGGGAGTTTCCTGAAAAGCCCCCCCAGCTTTTTCGTGCTGCAGTCCGCGGGGCAGCTGGGCTGCCTCTTAGCAGCAGACAGCCAGCTGTTTGCTGCTGTGCTGCTGGGGGGAATTCCTTCTTTGCTGCGCTATTTGAGTTCTGCTGCTGGCGGTTCTGTGGCTTTGCTGCTGCTCAACAAAACCCTCACTGCTGCGGGGCTGCTGCTGCTGCCTGCTGCAGCAGCCACGGCGCTCCTCGTCGCCAGGTAACTCCAGCAGCAGCAGCAGCAGCAGCAGCAGCGCAGCAGCAGCAGCAGCAGCAGCAGCAGGGTGTGGGTTTTCGGGTGCAGGGTTTAGGGTTTGGCGGGAAGGGTTTCTAGCTCAGTGCGTCAGTCGCCCTGCTTGCCCCCAGAGGCTAGGGTTTTGTTGAATTGGGGCTGGCGTTCTCGGTTTGCCCCGCTTCAAGGTGCTCTAGGGTTTAGGGTTTAGGGTTTAGGGTTTAGGGTTTAGGGTTTAGGTTTAGGGTTTAGGGTTTAGGGTTTAGGGTTTAGGGTTTAGGGTTTAGGGTTTAGGGTTTAGGGTTTGCGCGAAGGCGGCTGAAGCGGCTGCGGCAGGAACGGCAAGCAGCAGAAAGCCGGTGGTCTTCTTTGGTGCTGGACCGGCTGTACGCACACCGCGCGGTGTACGTACACCAGCAGCAGCAGCAGGAGGAAGTTCGTGCTGCTGCTGCAGCGCAGCAGCTGCTGGCAGCAGCAGCAGCAACAGCCAGGGCCAGCGGCTGCCTCATGGGCGCCATTTCTTTTGCTTCCAATTTGTCTCTCCTTCTTGTCCTCTACTCGGGGGCCACTCTCTTGAGGAACAAAACCGTAAGCTGCTGCTGCTGCTGCTGCTGCTGCTGCTGCTGCTGCTGCTGCTGCAGGCAGCTCAGCGCCGTTTTTGTCGCTTTTTGTCCCTTTTTTCTCCTTTTTTCCTTTTATCTCTTTTCTTTTCCTTTTCTTCCTTTTTGTTTTCTTATTTGTCTTTAATTGTCCCTTTTTGTCTTTTTGTTTTTCTTTTTTTGCCTTTTTGTTTTTCCCTTTTGTTTCTTTGCTGCTGCAGCGCCTGCAGCAGAAAAGACACACTCTGGTTTTTTGTTTCTTTTTGTCTCCGAGATTATCTGTCTCCTTCCTTTTGTCTTTCCATTTTATTTATTTTTCTTTTTACTCTTTTATCTGTCTCCAGTGTCGCCTGCTGCTGCTGCTGCAGCAGCAGCAGCTGCTGCTGCTGCTGCTGCGGCGCGTCTGCTGCTGCTGAAGTCACTTGGCTTTGCATGCTTCTCTTTCACCGGGACTAGGGCCTGTTTAGTTGCATTTCCTGGGGATTCGAGGCAGCAGCAGAGCTGCTGCTGCAGCAGAGCTGCTGCTGCAGCAGAGCTGCTGCTGCAGCAGAGCTGCTGCTGCAGCAAAAGGAAGTGGAAATAAAAGTTGATGTTTGCTGCTGCTGCTGCTGCAGCTGAGCTACGGGGGCCTCACTTCCTTCGTAGTTTACGCAGCAATGGTTGCTGCTGGCGCCAGCGGCTTGGCTTCGCTGTCTGGGGAGTGGGCGAAGGGGCGTGCTGCAGCAGAAAGAATGTTTGCTGCAATCCAGCCCTCGCTGCAGCAGCAGCAGCAGCAGCAGCAGCAGCAGCAGCAGCAGCAGCAGCAGGAGGGGGGGTTCTCTCTCGATCGGCTCAGGGGCGAAATCGAGTTCCACAACGTCACCTACCTCTACAGCGAGGACGTGCCTAGCAGCAGCAGCGGCGACGACAGCAGCAGCAGCAGCAGCAGCAGCAGCAGCAGCAGCCCGGCGAGCAGCAGCAGCAGCGACAGCAGCAGCAACGGCGAAGGCGTGGGCGGAGTCCGCAGCATTTCCTTTCGAGTTCGCCCCGGAGAGCTGCTGGGCATTGCCGGCCCTTCGGGCGCGGGCAAAAGCACTTTGCTGAAGTTGCTGCTGAAGGAGCTGCGGCCGCAGCAGGGGCGCATCACTGTCGACGGTCTGCTGCTGCTGCTGCTGCTGCTGCTGCTGCTGCTGCTGATTATGCTGCTGCTGATTATGTTTGTGGCGCTGCTGCTGGTGGTGTTTTTGGTGCTGCTGCTGCTGATGTTTGTGGTGCTGCTGCTGCTGCTGTTGATGTTTTTGGTGCTGCTGCTGCTGGTGATGTTTGTGGTGCTGCTGCTGGTGCTGCTGCTGCTGCTGCTGCTGATGTTTGTGCTGCTGCTGCTGTTGCTGGTGATGATTGTGGTGCTGCTGCTGGTGCTGCTTGTGGTGCTTATGGTGGCTGTGTGGTGATGATGCTTGTAGCGCTGCTGCTTATGCTGCTGCTGCTGCTGCTTGAGCTGCTGCTGCTGCTTGAGCTGCTGCTGCTGCTTCTGCTGCTGCTGCTGGGCTGTCCGCTGGGAGCTGTTGAGGCTTTGCGTACGTCCAGTGCAACTGCAGCCGTGCGTCGCCGCTCGAAACAGCAGATGGCGCTAGCTGCTGCTGCTGCTGCTGCTGCTGCTGCTGCTGCTGCAGGGATCGACCTGGAGACGATCCCCACGTCGATTTGGCTGCGGCATGTGCTGGGCGTGGTCAGCGACAGCAGCAGCAAATTATTTGGGGGTTTGACAGTGAAGGAGAACATTCAGTACGCAGGCTGGAGTGCTGCTGCTGCTGCAGACGCGGGCGCAGCAGCAGCAGCAGAAGCAGCAGCAGCAGCAGCGAACTGCTCGGGCTTCCTGCAGCGGCTGCCCCGCGGACTCGACACCCTCGTGGGGGAGGGCCCCGGGGCCCCCGGGGGGCCCCCGGGGGCCCCCGGGGGGCCCCTGGGGGCCCCCGGGGGGCCCCTGGGGGCCCCCGGGGGCCCCGGCTTCAGCAGCGGGGAGCAGCAGCGGCTGGGGATTGCCAGGGCCCTTTACAAGCAGCCGCGCATTTTGCTGCTGGATGAACCCTCAAGTGCTTTGGATGCTGAGGCTGAGCGGGCCTTCACGCAGGCCCTGGCCAACGTCATGCAGCCGCAGCTGCAGCAGCAGCAGCAGCAGCAGCAGCAGCAGCGGGCGAAGGAGGCGGCGGCGGAGGACGCGCCCGAGCAGCAGCAGCAGCAGCAGCAGCAGCAGCAGCAGCAGCAGCAGGTGCTGTGCGCGCTGCTGGTGGCCCACAGCCCCGCCGTGCTGCAGTGCGTCTCGAAGCTGCTGGTGCTGCGGCGAGGTGCTGTTGTGGAGTCGGGGGTTTACGAGGAGCTGCTGCAGCAAAAGGGCACGCTGCATGCGCTGCTCACCGGAGACTCCAAACCCTAAACCCTAAACCCTAAACCCTAAACCCTAAGCAAGGCCTAGGGCGCGGCGAGCCTCGCCGCGCCCGCTGGGCCTCGCGAGAGACTGTCACCCGTTCAGAAACTTCAGCAGCAGAGACCTAACTAACAGCCCTTGCTGCTGCTGCTGCTGCTGCAGCAGCAGCAGCAGCAGCAGCTGTCGCTCTCCGCAGTTGCGGAAACAAACGTTGACTAGGTCGGCGAAAACCCCGCACCACCCTCTTTGGCCTAGCTAGCTAGCTAGCTAGCTAGCCTGCTGCCGGCTAGCTGCTAGCTAGCTAGCTAGCTAGCTAGCTGGCTAGCTAGCCAGCCAGCACGGAGCTGCGCCTGGTGGCTGCAGCAGCTTGCTGCCGCCGGCTGCTGCTGCAGCTCAGGCGGCGCCGCTGCGTCTACTTTTGCTGCTCGTTAAAAACAGCAAAACGCGAACTTCGAGAGTGTCACATTGCTGCAGTTGCAGCAGCTGCAGCAGCTGCAGCAGCAGCAGCAGCAGCAGCTGCAGCAGCAGCAGCAGCAGCAGCAGCGCGTGCGGTTGCTTTGCTTGCAGCGCTGCTTGAACTGCTGTTTGAATAAACATATGGCACGAAAGAGTCTTCTGCTGTTTCTGTCACTCCCGCTGCAGCGCGCTGCTGCTGCTCGCGCTCCTCGCTGCTGCTGCTACAGCTGCTGCTGCTGCTGCTGCTGCTGCTGCTGCTGCTGCTGCTGCTGCTGCTGCGTTAGCCAGAGTCGCGGGTGTAGGCGAAGAGCTGCACGTCAATGCCCGAGTTGCTGAAGCGGCTGATGGACTTCCAGGGCAAAAGTGCCTTCGCCCTGAAGGCCCGGCTGGCTGCAGCAAACGCAGCAGCAGCCGCAAACCCCACAGCCCCACAGTGCATGCATGCATGCATGCGTTCGCTGCATGCATGCATGCATGCATGCGTTTGCTGCACGCATGCATGCATGCATGCATGCGTTTGCTGCGTGCATGCATGCAGCAAGTGCATGCATGCAAGCAGCAAATGCATGCAGGCGTGCAGCAAATGCATGCAGGCGTGCAGCAAATGCATGCATGCATGCATGCATGCATCTGCAGCGGATGCATGCATGCAGAGAGACAGGCGGAGGGAGGAGGCAAGCAGCAGCAACGCAGCAGCAAAGCAGCAGCAAAGCAGCAGCAAAGCAGCAATCTGCAGGAGCAAAGGAGTCAAACAGCCGCAGGCTGCACAGCAGGAGAGCAGCAGCAGAGCAGCAGCAGCGAGAGAGCGGCAGAGGAGCAGCAGCAGGAAAATAGCAGCAGCAGCAGAGCAGCAGCAGAGCAGCAGCAGAGCAGCAGCAGAGCAGCAGCAGAGCAGCAGCAGCAGAGCAGCAGCAGCTGAGGCTCACGGGCAAGGAGAAAGGCAGCAGAAATGTTGCTGCTGCTGCTGATTTGGGCTTCGAGTCTTTTGAAGCTGCTGCTGCCCTTTTGCTGCTGCGGGCTGCGAAGGCCGTAGGGCGCATTCAGCAGCAGCACGGAGCCGTAGGGCAGAAGCCGCAGCGCCTGAGGCCGCAACCCTAAACCCTAAACCCTAAACCCTAAACCCTAAACCCTAGGTGAGGCAGCCTGCGCTGGAGCCGCAAACCCTAAACCCCAGAATCGCCGGAGCGGCCCGGGAAGCAGCAGCAGCGCCTGTGGAGGGAGAGCAGCAGCGACAGCAGCAGCAGCAAAGGGGGCAGCAGCAGGCAGCAACAAGCAGCAGCTGCAGCAGCTGCAGCAGCTGCAGCAGCTCGCGTTCAAGCAGCAAAATGAAAACATTTGCTGCTGCTTCCAGGCAAACCGCAGACGTCGCCACAGACAAGTCGAACAGCAAACAGCTGCAGCCGCGGGTTTAGGGTTTAGGGTTTAGGGTTTAGGGTTTAGAAAGCCCACAGGTTCGAAGTCTGAATGCATCAAAGTCAAAGAACAGGGCAGCGCAGGCGCTGCAGAAGCAGAGACACCGCAAGTCGGGGTGTACGTACAGCTCAGCTCAGCAGCAGGGAAAAGGCAAAAACCCGCAAGCAGCAGCAGCTGCTGCTGCTGCTCCTGCTGCAGCAGCACCAGCTAGGCTCGTCACATGCATGCTGCTGCTGCTGTTGCTGCTGCTGCTGCTGCTGCTGCTGCGCCCTTTTACCTTCCTCTTTTGCTGTAGCAGCTCTTGCAGACCTCACACGAAACGCCTCTGCGTTCATCAGTGCACTCTAAAAAAAGCAAACATAGCAGCAGCTGCTTCTGCTGCTGCTGCTGCTGCTGCTGCTGCTGCCACTGTGTTTGCTGCTGTCATTGATACAGTACCACTGCTGCTGCGTTTGCAACTGCTGCAGCTGCTGCTGCTGCTGCTGCTGCTACGGGCTTGTCTAACCTCAATTTGGTCTTTGTCGCTGTCGCAGCCGAGTAGCCGCAGGCCCTGTATATTCGGGTGGGGCCTGCAGCAGCAGCAGCAGCAACAGCAGCAGCAGCAGCAACAACAGCAGCAGCAGCAGCAACAACAGCAGCAGCAGCGGCAACAGCCCGCACAGAAGATTGCGCATTTACTTGCCAGATTGGCCTGCATAGGGCATACGGCCGAACGCATCCTTAAGCCCTAAGCTTCAAACCCTAAACCCTAAACCCTAAACCCTAAACCCTAACCCCTCCATCCTAAATAACAGTCCTTGCAGCCCTAGCCCCGCGTGCCCCAGAAGATATCCTTAGCGCTCCACTTTCTGCATAAAGGATAGCGGCTTGGGGTTTAGGGTTTGCGGTTTAGTGCTTAGGGTTTAGGGTTTAGGGTTTAGGGTTTAGGGTTTAAGACTTACAGGATGTCGAGGCAGTCCAGGAAGGACTCGAAGCGCAGCATTGAGTGACGGGGGAACTGCGCCACAAAAGAAGCAAACAGCAAGGGCCGCGAAACATTTGGCTGGCTAGCTAGCTAGCTAGCTAGCTGGCCAGCAAACTAGCTAGCTGGCTGGCTAGCTA